CCCCAACATGTGCATATTTCAGTATTATTTAAGGCAACTTTATCAAGTATGTGGAAAAAGGAAGCCATAAAAGTAATTGCCATAGCTCCTTCGTAGCATCACCAGCCATTGTTGAATTAATAAAATACCTGTCCGCATTACTGTTATTCTGGCACAATGATGGCTAGATGATTCTGGAAGATACTATAAATTGCTAGTAAGGAAATGATCAAGGAATGGTAGGCAAAAGTAGCACCCATCCTGTTCTCAAACCACTTTTTCCCCTGTTACCTCATTACGTGGGTAATCTCACTCCCTCAAGATCCAAGGTTATAAATAATTCTGAGAAAAAGAGAGTGGTTGTGGGGGGAGAGAAGACATTGCAGAAGGGTTAATGGCTACAAGAATGGCTACATTCCCCATATATTGATTTCTTTTGCAACTATCCAGCCTCTCACTTTACATTATTGTTAGTCAGCCAAGCATTTGACAAGTTAATATGTAGCACGATTCTTAATAAGCCTTGTTCAAAACAAGAGTATTAGCATTTTTTCTATTTGAAAATAATCTGTTATACAGAACAAATATGTTTTTTTAAAAAAAGGAATTTGATATTGAAAGTTGTCCATATGACAAGTATTTTGCTTTCTCCCAACTCCACAACCATAAAGGTTTGGGAAGTTCAATTTTTACCACTTACATTCAGAAATACATGATCAAACAGATTATTGTGACCGTGCATCAAATCACTGATCACATGCAACCCAGAATGGGTTCTGTTTTGTCTTATTTTATTTTAGGGTCTGATATTGAGCAATAGTATGTTATTCTCATTTTAAATTTTGAAATGAGGCTGAGAGACACTGCAGCATTTGACAAGTTAAGATGCCTCCTTGGCTTGAACCCGACTTTCCCATTCCTACTTTCCACATGTCACCTGACAGGCTTAAGCTCCCATACTTTTTTTTAAATAAATTTTTAATTGTTTTTTTAATTAATAACAGAAAAGAAAAACCACAAAAATAATAATACACGAGAAGAAGGAAGAAAACATTAAAAGGTGGTATTACCAAAAAGTAACAAAAATACAAGAACAAAAAAAAATACAGTAAATAGTTACACATCTATATATATTTATCTAATGCAAATATTATTCAGAGCTTAAGCTCCCATACTTAATGTCAGCATTCTTTCTCCATACATATATATTTATAGGTCCCTAACTGCACAACCAGTACGAACTGTAATTGAACAATATCCAAACCACCAGGATAACAGATAAGCCAAGGGCATTCTTTCTGATGCCAAATATGAAGATGGAGCTACAATACTTGAATTTTACCCTCCATTTTTAAAGAACCCTCTTGGATGAGGATTTAAAAAATACTCATTTGCAAACCCAGCCTCCTCTGACTTTGGGTGTTCTTCCATTCAGTCTGACCTTTCAAAATTATTTTCTTATTCCCAAATTTTATATGCCTCCAGAAAATAGTCCCATACCCACAGGGTGCTTCAAACCCTTGTCATCTTTAATGAAAACTTTCCATCCCTTATTGCTCATCACAACCTAAACTAAATCCCAAGGCTGTTTGAGAAAGCGATAAATTTTACAGACATGTTTCTAGTCCCTACGGCTGCATAGTAATGTCTGGAAATAGAGTTCAGTGCTCTACTTAGTACCCTTGGTCTGCTATTTTATATATATACAGAATTCCTCTTTGCACAAAACATGATCATTCCAGACACAAGCCTTAGAAGTCATGGCAGAGCCATACATCACAGCAAAAAAATTATATATGGCCCATTCAGGCTGCTTGAAAAAATGGGATTTGGGTGTCAGTAGGACATGGCAAAAGGAGCCCAGAAAAAGAGAGAAGATTCTCCTTTTGAAAAATCGATCAATCCACCCACATAAAGCCACATCAACAACAATTTTTAGCTGAATGGAACATCTAGCAAACATTCAGTCCCTGAACATGTGGCAGATTCATTTTAAACACCTCCATTAACTAATCCCCCAATCCGCGCAGCAGCCCAAATTCATGCCAGCTTTGAAAGATGATTTAGCAGGTCTTAATTCTCCCTTCCCTACTTTGTCCAAAGCACAGGCAGCAGCGGAGTTGAACCCCTGCAGAATTAGCCTGCAGAGGGAGTCCCTGTCTTGCCAGGCAAAATTCAACAGACTTGGGGCAGTTATGCTAGGAAGGAAGCTTGGGGGGGGGGGCAGAGTTCCTTCATTTTGGGGAATGGAAGGATATTTCTCAACAGGAGGAGAAGGAAGGCAAGTTGGGGGAATGAGAAAAGCCATTCTGGCCCCTTGCCAGCACCCAAAAGCTGCTAGCAATTTGCATAATAAGCCCTAGCTTTTATCTCCTTCTTGCCATGTTCAACACAATTTGCAAACATTAGTTAATTAATCCCCACAACATGGGACTCTCCTCTCTCCTCCCCTCTCCTGAATGAGAAGCTAAGTATCCCCCCCCCCATTTTTTTACAGTTGCATGAAAACAGATACAAATTATGGAACAGGCTTAATCAATACTACCTAAAGAGTTTTTTTTTTTTTTTA